CGATGGTTGCTGAATCACTTGCGGCAGTGCCAAGTCGGCAATACACTGCTAGCAAGGATTGGTGCAAGCTTGGATTCAAAAGCTGCACATCGACTTTCAACTCATTCAAAATAACGTGCGCCAGCATCAGCATGCTGGTAGCACGAGCAGCCCCTTTCAGCTAGTGGGTCCAAAACAACGCCCCCGCCTCAAGCTCCTCAGAGTATTTGAACTCCGAGGGCAAGGGGCTGCTGATACAGAAGCAAAGGCTCCTGTGCAGTCAGACAAGTGTTCGTTAAATACTCGTCTGCCAGGGCCGCTGCCGTGACTCTAAAAGTCATAGGCTTGGAGCTGCAGCACTCCACAAAGCCCAGTTGCCACAAAGACACCCGAAACGTCTCACTCGGGTCGTGGCCCCGAGGCAACTCAAGGCTCTCCAGGTAGGACAAATCGGTCCGCCTGGGAAAGGCCACCTGAAGCTGCTCAGCGAAATCTTTCCATTTCAAGTTTCCTGGGCTGCCCAGTTCGCGCATATTGCACTGGACCTCCACAAGCCTCGAGGTGGAAGTTCATGGCTGTCCAAGCGACTTCCTTGAAGTTAGCTTCAGTGATTGCCATTGATGCTGCAGGTGGGTGAGGGGCCTGATGTCCGGAGGATAGTAGATGGTTTCATGGCCACGTCCTCTGGAGCCTCGGGCTCTGATTTCTTGTTATTCTCTGGGTCCTCTTTCATCTCTTCCTTCACATCCATGGCGTCTGGGCGACCAACCCTGCTGGGGAATGTGCCTAGCCTAACTTGTTACTATTGGACTTTTTCTGTTGGCTTGCCTGACACCATGCCATGCTTCTTGACTACCCGGTCTCCTTACCGAGCCCAAGCTTTGGGAAAGCCGCCAGAATTCTAACTCAACGTTAAAAACCCATTTTGCGACTAACTGGGGGGGTCGAAAAGTGACCCCCCCAGATCGTCGCGTTTCAAACGAAACGTGACTAACTCCCAGCCCAAACCCTGGATCGTGACTAACTGGGGGGGTCGAAAAATGAAACCTTAGATCGTCGCGTTTGTATAACCTAGATCAAGAGATCGTCGCGTTTCAAACGAAACGTGACTAACTGGGGGGGTCGAAAAGTGACCCCCCTAGATCGTCGCGAAATGGACTCAAATCATGGTTTCTGAGGGTCTGATGGTGACTTGTTTGATAGTCTGGCGCTGGCGCGGTTCGATGCCATGGTCTTTTTTTCCGCCCGTGAGTGCCAAGTCATGTCCATATTCAATATGTTCCCAATCATACTACTCAGCCGCCACCCATCACTATGCGCAAGTGGGCTTGATTCAAATGGCCGCTTGCAACCATCCTCAGCTTGATGAGCTTATCCTGGAGTCAGGGCGGCAGTCCCAGACTGCTGGGCCCACTCCAACCGCACAGCGTCTGCCAGGTGGTCCACCAATTCCGGGGAATACACTTGGCACCATGAAGAGAGTTGAAGACCCGATTCGGAGCCTTGGATCACTGCGTGCTCCTCGGTGCAATTGCACTGGAGGGGAGAAAAGATGTTGTGGATCTCCCGGCTGTTGGTCATCAGAACCGTCCTTTTTTGATAGGTTTCAAGCCGGAAGGAGTCCTCAGACCAGTTCGACACTGGTCAAAAGAAACCAGGAACACATTGGGTTTGTTTGCAAGTTCGGCTATTGATGCTCTGCGCCAACTGGATGCGCCCGGTGGATGTTCATGACAGAAGAAACGGTTGCCTCTCAGCTGCCGATCGGCAATATGCATGGCAAAATCCAACATGCAGTTGGCATCTGCAAACCTCTGTTTGCGAATCTGCGGCTGCATTTTTTCAAATTTAGGTTTTGCATTTTGCTGAACATAGTGCATGGCGGAGATAGCATGACGAAAAAAGGTGCATGCGTCTCACACAATCTCAGTGCTCTGGCGCGATCTTCAAACTTCAAGAAATCGTAGCCAGTCATCAAGTCAAAACTGTACCGCGCGAAGAAGCCAGTTCTTCGTAGCGGCAGTGCCACCCGTGGAGGTGAATAAAACTCCATGAAGTGGTGGGGAAGGCACTGAATCTGGTTGGCGCCTTCTTCTTCAATTTTGTCGATGACCAAGTCACACAAACTTGAACTGGCTTGCAAGGCGCCTTCCCAAGGAGCAGGCACTGGATCCGATACGGATATTTGCGGCTGCCTAGCGGATGAGTCGGCTTTGATATGAAATGATTCAGTGTCCCAAAACTTGCGCTTTTGAATATACTTGAAGGTCTTGTAAAATAGATTTATCACCCTAACCGGTTCCCACAAAATGATATATCATCCACATCACTGCATCATTATGTGCCCGGAACCAGGCCTTGGTGGTCGCGGAGGTGAGCTTTTTGGCGCCTCCATCATCTCAATATCGGAGCCATCCTCGTCTGAGCTGCCAATTATGGTTATGTCCTCCACAATGCTCCCAATGAGCTGTTCAAGGTCTTCTTAGACCCTAGTGTGGCTTGTTCGAATTTGAGCCATCATGGTGCCATGATGATGCATGTCTCCGATTTCAATCATATGATTGTGTGAATGTCATGACAAGTCAAACAATAATTGCTCTGAAACTAAAGTACTTTTATGATGAACAACCATTCGTCGCATGAAACATTGAAACTGAATAGGGGTTGCAATCCGTTTTCAGCTGCCTTGGGATCTGAGAAGGAAAAGTGAAATCTATGGCTTGAAAATCCATTCGGTCCTCTCCTCGTTGAGGACAAGCCCTGCCAGAGTCCGACACCGCGCGCAACCGCCTTAAACCTGCATTTGTGGCCGCCCAATTGGACTCCAGGAGGCTTGGGAAGAAACATGAAACATTGAAACATTGAAACTGAATCGTTGTGATTCGACTTGCTTGGCTCTGGCCCTGGGCCTGACCATGGCGGAGCCTCAGTCCCTGGCGCATCTTGGCTAGACCCCGCTTGGTTATTTTCCTGGCTAGGATAATCGCTTGAATCCGGCCAGGGACATGAGTCCGCCCAGGATTGGGTAGGACCATCAGTCAACCAGGGATCCGCCCAAGTTTGGGTAGGATTCTGGTCTTGCTCTGACTCTTCTGGCACCGAGCCAAATTTGGGCACCCAGATATATCTTGGTCGCAAGGTTGACCTGGAGGACCCCCGTTGCTTTGGGGCCATCTCTGGCCAACTTGCGCTCCAGCTGGGTAGCTTTTGCTTGAGCCAGAAGGACCAAGACCCAGAGTTGATTATCATACTTTGACACATGTACACTGGCAACATGGTTTATTATCTCCAAAAAAAGTTGGTTCTTAAAAAAAAAGTTGAAATGAAATTATTTTGTCATTATGTCTTATATACCACATAACGCCTTGATTTGCGCCGATGTCCCCGCAGTTCGAATCTTCTATCCTGCGGCAATCAAGAGCAACTCCCCCTTGGCACAGGCAAAACCATCCCCCCACTGCCACTTCTGTCAGATACTTTACAAACAAGTGGTTTTCCCCAGTAATGTATGTCATCACGGGATAGTAAATAGGATAGACAATCCTGCTTGGAAGCGCTTGGGCGGGGATGCATGGACACCTCACGTGCACATTTAAAAGACTTGGAAAAACACATATGAAGTACAGATCAGGGGGCGCTGATCCGATACCTTAAGGCAAACCTAAATTTGCTCAAAAAGAACAAGTGAGAAATTTGAGGTGTTTTTTTGGTCATGTCCCTTGCAGCTCGCACAAACAACACAAACGCAACAACATGCACAACACACAAATAACACAACAACACACAAACAGAACAACACAACAACACACACTCATGACAAAGCAACAACACACAGACACAACACACAACAACACACAGACACAACACACAACAACACACAACACACAACACACAACACACAACACAACCACAACCACAACAACAACAACAACAACCACAACAACAACAACCACAACCACAACAACCACAACAACCACGACAACCACAACAACCACAACAACCACAGCCACAACCACAGCCACAACAACCACAACAACCACAACAACCACAACAACCAACAACAACAACAACAACAACCACAACAACAATAACAACAACCACAACAACAACAACCACCACAACCACCACAACCACCACCACCACCACCAACAACAACAACAACAGCCACAACCAACACAACAAAATTAAGCCGAAAACGTTGACTTGCTGGAAATGTTCACCGGGCATGCCCCCCAGGTCAGACACGCACACGACATGAGCAACTTCAGAGATTGCGCCGACGAGGAGCCAAGGCTGCGAAGCAGGGAGGCGCAAACCTGTGTTGTGTCTGCACAGTCTTTAAAGATTCAGGGGGCTTCCGTTGCCTTGCCTGCATTCAGTGATGCCATGTGAAACTGATGCGGTCGAAAAAGCTTGGTAAACCTGACATCGTGTTACCAGGAGTCATTGGCTGTAACCAATGCTTGCATGGAATCCACAAAATAATCATTTGGATATATTTAGATGGTGCTGGTAGGTTTGGGTCCCGGTTTTGCTCTAGCAGCATGCAAAATGTTAGTCAGTTCGAGACTAATTACCGAAAAAATAAATAAACAACAAAGCAACAAACTATTCATTATTCCCCGCAAAAGTGATGGAAATGAACAAACCTTCCAAACTGCCACCCGGACTATAACTTTGCAAGATGAGAACTGTCCAAGCTATAGTAGCCATATGTAGCCATACTGTACTACTAGTCCTCGCGATCCGGACGAAAAAACACATCCCATGCCAATCTCCTGCCATCCAATTGAACACAATAACAAACTCACCAAACATGTACAGAACACTGACCATGCACCCGGGCCCCCTCCCTTTTTTCCCTCGCAACCTGCTCCAACGTCCCCCCACACGTCCAGTCTGACCCAGGTCCAAACTTGGTCCTGAAAATCAGTATGAGTCATATTCATTCATATTCTTGGATGTATTTTGGTATGATCAACTTCAGTATGAGACCCCACACCGCCCGGTCACCGCCAGACCTCCACGCAGCGGTCGACCCGGGCGGTGTCGAGCCATTTCAGCCAGGTGGACCACTGAGGCTGATAAAGCCGGCTCTCCTGGACAAGAAATCTCACAGAATATGAAAACACAAACCGCATTTTCGCCAAAAAGGTCCTAAACAAATGAAAAACATCAAACACATGAATCCAAAAAGATCAGCCAAAAAGAACAAGGAAAAACCACCTCCGGCGCCACCGTAAAGGGTGTCTGTTTTGGACCCCCTGACCATGTATCTTCCACAAAGCCACCTGAAATGGGTGCTGGATCTAAGCAAGTCGTTGAAACCTCGGTCGAGATCGGTTTGTTCGGGAAATCGAGTCGGAGAGGATCAATGGACACCACTGAAGGATGTGAGCCTCCTGGCCCTCAGCCGTGACCTGTTGAAGGGTGATGGGTTTGGGGATGTTCTCGGTTGAACGTGTTTGCAAACGAGTGACCCCAGGATACACCCATTCTAGCCATCATGAAGCACTCTTCTTTGATGCGCCGTCTTGTGACCTTGGCTCTGGTGGTGCCTTGGCACCTCTTGGCACCTCGGCTCCTGGAACCGCTCAGAGGATCTTTGGATGCCAAGTTTCGGCCAAGAGGTGCCATGGCACCTGCCTCTCCGCATCTTCCTCGCATCTGCCTGACAAAATGGGTCACCCCGGTCACCCGGTGAACAGCACGGCACAGCGTCTGCTGGAAGGCGACCAGGGGATATCTCCGGGTCTTCTCCGAGTCTTCTCCATGTGGGGATGGAGTTTGTGGGATGAACTTGGTATAACAAATTAGTACTACTAATTAAAATTAGATTCTAATTATAAATTCTATAGCTTCTTGTTACTACTAGCGATGCACCTGTTACTAGTAGCGTGGCACTTGTTACTAGTAGCTTTTTATAGAAGTCATGAAGTTCAGATCGAACCGACTCTGCCCTGTAAGACCCCGTCAGTTGCGAGCCCCCTGTTCGGGGAGAAAAAAGGGTGAGCTCATGGATACCCGACGTTGCCGCAGGTTACCCTGGACTGAAATGCCACATCAATCCGCCTTCTTTCCGGAGAACATCACCGGGCCCTGCCTCCCACGGCGCACGCGTGGAAGTCCCGGAGCTCTTCCGCAAGCCCAGCCAGTATCAAGCAGCTCCACATGGAGCTCCATGGTGTGGCCAGTCTAGGGCAGCCCGTTGGAGTACGAGCAGCAGTCTGAACCAGGACTTGAGATTAATGGTGTTTGGTCCAGTATACTTGATCGTTGTTTTTTGTGTATAGCATGTCGGAACCAAGCTTCATTTAGGCAGGCCCAGTTCTCAACACGTTCAACTGCCTGGTACAAATCTTTCGGAAGCACATACAGAGACCTAGGGTCAGGGTTGGCAATCACAGGGCATCGAACACCTTGACATTCTAGAATAGGTCTGCCTGATTCTGCCTGGCAAACCAGCTGTTGGCATGCTTGACTTTGCGGAGCCATTTCATGTACTCCGCAAAATGATGGCTTCTACATGCTTCTACTATTAATTGTTATTTCCACTAATCCATCGACTTTCTAGACAAAAAGGCTGAGGATCTTTGGGAACTAACCCATACCTTTGTTGTCGCCCAAAAAATGATATGTCCTTCTGAAAAAATTGGACCGAGTATGGCCGAAATCTTTAGGAAATGACCACGGTCTGTCATTTTGTAGTTCCAGTTAATCAATCCAATTTTTGGATATGTTTGGTAACTCCCACCGCCGAACCACCACCGCCGTTCTTTTTCCGTGGCGGACACACCCGCTCCTCACGGGAACGACCGACCGAACGTGCGACACGACTCCAAAGTGGTACGCCCAAAGCATATCCAAAACCAAAACAAACGAAACCAAACAAAGGGTGTCATGTTTCTCGAAAGAAGCCGGGAATGTTTCTTAAGCAATCAAACCTGCGGTATCCAAAAGATCTGCAAAGGTCTTTTGTTGGGGATGCTCGGACACCCTTGGCTCAATGCACGTTCCAAGGACAAGCGACATCCCCGGCCCCCAACAAACGACCTTAGACCTTGGGAGGGAAGAAGAAAAGACATCATAATATCATTATGAATTCTTACTTAATGTATTGACATACACCCAAGCCTAACAACACTGCTTATAGTCAGTCTGTCACCCATTGTTTGGGGCCCTTCTATCATCTTCTATCTCCATTCAGAGACACACCATCTTCATCTCCCCCGGAGGGTCTCCCCCTCCGGCCCTCCTTCCGTACCATCCCGGGGCACATTCTGCACCGAGTAGTCCGCCGTGGCACAAGTCACGCGCACGTCCGCGTCCGGTTGGATCTGAGCGGGTTTTCTTGGGGGGTTCCCAGCTGGTGAAACTGCTTGGCAGCTGGCCAAAACCTACAATAAAATATTGTAAAACATTAGAAATCAATTATGTTATTTGGGTTAGACTTGGAAAGAAACCCTTCCCTAAACACTCCATCATTTGTGGAACATATGGCCCCTTGTCAACCACCCCAACAGATTGGTAAATTTGACAGTCCCATGGAGTGTCTGGGTACCAAACACACAATATACTTGTTGGGGGTGCTGGCCGCTGCTTATATATTTGCCTATCCTAGTCCTTTGTAACTCATGAACGAACTGGTTTCACCACAGAGGCGCGGCTGAATCCATTACGTCATGTGCGGGAGGCGGGAGATTCCAGGGCCACATGCGAGCAAACACCATAAGCATACATCTCAAAGGTATCTCAAGTCACTGCAGTGTCTTTGAGTTTTGTCACGGGGGTCCACTGCAGTACGATGAATACTGGGTCCAAGTTCTCCAGACCCAAAGATCTCCGGATCTGAAGGCACACCAACCCCTCCAAAAAGGTGACTGGCCACCTGATCCACCAAAAGTGTCCTGAAGTTTCCCTGGGACGCCCGAGCGCCAATGCCGAAACGATGCTTGTTCTCCTGGCACCAAGTGACTTCCGTGTCCAAGTGGATGGCCAATATGGGATATGTATAGAAAAACTGTCTAAAGTCTCAATATATGTCCAAAATAAATCCAAAATTAACATACAAATGAATTACAATGAATTGCCGTACATGTTTTACAGTCAGGCTTTGTGCCGCCAGTGAGGTCTTTCCTTCGCACCCTGCCAGCTATGGGGAAGCATCTCATTATTGGACTTTCTAGCTGGGTGAAATCCGAGTAGAAACCAGCTGCTTCCAGTACCAGCTGCTTCCAACTTGGTCACCTGGTTGGACTATAATATAGGTCCCCAACTAGGACACCCATACAGGAAAGCTGGGTAGAGTCCATGTCTGATCATTAGTATACACCTGAGACCCGCCTTAGCCGATGCCATCCAATTGATTTCATCGGTCACCCGGTTGTTTCGGAGAAAACCGCTGACCCACCGAGGACTTGGTCTTCCAAACCCCCCCCGAGTCGTCGGACTCCCTCCTCCGTGACCCACTCGCCAGCGCTGCTTCCATCCTCGCTGTCCTCGCGTACCGCGTCAGCCGGCGAAGTGGATCTGATTGGTGAGCTACCGAGCGAGTATCTCTTCTGCCCGGAGTATAGGGGGTGATGATTTTTTGTCGAAGTTCATCGGCCGGAATCAAAGACAAGCAAGTATGAGGAGGCAGCAGGCAGGACACGTTTTAAGACTCAATCACCTGAGATTATGTGATGAAGTGAAGCAAAATGAGCTGCCACTTGGAGAGATCACTACTTTGGGGATTATGGTACGTACTGGGTACCGGGATAACTTTCAACAACCCAATGAAGGTTCTGCCACACCTACAAATGTTGTCAATTTTCAATTCCTGAAAGCGTGCTTGCGACGGAATTTCAAGCAATGTCGAACACAAACTTCCAGCTGCTTCCAATGGGCATATAGCGGAAGGGACACTGAAGTGAAGAAATGGTCGTTTCATGTCGTTTCTGCCCTGTTTTTTCATGACTTTAGATTGTCACCAATCTCCTTGCGTGGAGATTGGAAAGAAGATCTTCGTGGCATGGTTTACCCATCAATCCCTATGGCCGCCAGGGTAGGGACCACCCCGTGGGTCGGGACCAACCCTCCAAGCAGTAGACTGGGGTCGGTGCCGTCGGGTCCAGTCATACCGGACCGAGCCGGACCACCCCGTGGCTCGGTCCTCACCGTCGTCCGCCTCCTCGGGGTCATCCGCCTGGCGAGGTGGTCCGGAGCACCAAGGGGTTGTGGGTTTGGACCTTCGGAACGCGTGCGGAACGCGTGCTATGCATGACAATGAGTATAAAAATGGACGCACAGCTATATGACTATATGTATACTCTATAACCTTCAAAGACCAATTGAAAATGGTTGTGACCTGGTATTGTCGTACAAACTCCTGAATAAAACAATTGTTGTTTGATGTTCTTTGGTGCAGACCATCAAATCTAAGGTTGTTGAAATCCTGGTGTAGCCATCATCTTTTCACCAAAGGCACCTAGGGCTGTTTCAGTAGGGAAATTGGGGCTCTGTACCCTTACCGGCGGCGCACAAGCATTACTTAATGCTATCTAAACTGGCTCCCCGCCTCCATGCGGGGTTTGGGCCAGCTTCGCTTTAAAAAGCAACCACCAACACACGAAACAAACATATCCAATTTTCCTCTATATCCACAAGCTACCTATTTGGTCACGACGATCTCTGGACTCTGCCTCTGAAACGTTCAGCCGGGCTTCTTGGCAGATCCCCAAGTGCTCACGCTACATTCGCCCAGGTGCCCACACGTGTTACTTTGAGGATCTTCTCCACCCGAAGAGCACAACAGGGGCACCACCAGCGGTCGCACACCGGGGTCGGTCAGCAAAAGAAGCTCCTGACTCTACCAGTTACGATCAGTTACGTAGTTGTTCGTTGGCCCAATGCACAGGTTCACGAGAGACAACGAAGCCTCCTTACAATCGAGAACGAACTGACATAATAAACTCCTCAATATCGGTGTGAACTCGAAGCCAGAAAGCACCCCCTTTCTGCCTGGAGCTGGACTTCCGGGTCGCACCTCACCGGCGGATCCAACAACATGAAACGACATTTAAAGAGCCAGCCCATGAAGCACCCGTAAGCAAGCAAGCACTATGTCGATACAATTGTGATTATACATATGATCATGATATAATTCATACTATCCCCGTTGCTACCGACTGAGGTTCACCCCATCAGTTTATCCAGAAATTGGTTGTATAAGTTATTAAAAATGATCTTTTCACACACCAACGGTCTTTTTCTAAACAGTGGAAAAGGAAAACCACTTTCTGTCGTGACTGGCTAATTTGACTAGTTTGCAAATTCGTCGTTGCCAACCATTTATACAGGACCCATTTTTGATAACCCTTAAACTAAATGAGTGGTTTTCCGCGGTCGACCACACTCATTTAGCAAGCCGGTAGCAATGGTGATTTAATATGTTAATCAATATGGGAGTCATGGAAATATCATGCAACATCCATCTCGTACATTCTAGTTCCCCATCCCCGTGCAGTCCCTGCGCCTCTCATCCTCTGCTGTCCTCTCTCCAGTCCTCGGCCAGTTCGAATCAGAGACGCGCCACTCGAGTCCCCGTCACTTTCGTCTCCTTCGCCCAAAAAGAAGTCTGCTGCTGGGGAAAAAAGGGTCATGATGAGCAGTGAGCAAAGGGGTTCTGCTTTGAGGTGGAGCACCTCGTGGCCTCGAAGGGTCCCTGCGCCCGGAAGGGTCCTCAAAGCCCCAAATCCCTCTGCCGGTGCAACTTCGGACTTCCCAGGGTGGTCAATGTCTGTGATGTTCATTCCAGCACCTTCAAAGGGGTCACCGACGGAAGCCCCAGCCCACTACCTAGGGATCTCCATTGGACACCCCTTTGAAGGTCCAGGTTCCTTTTTCTGGCGAAGCCACCCCCGGAGCCAAGGGTCTGAGCCGCGTCCAGTGGGAGAGCTCCCGTCTCCGCAAGCTGCACCTCTCGTTGGGTCGATCGTCGGGTCGATGGCCTGAAGGTAAACAAAGACCAGCAGTTCTAAGACTTTCTAAGTGAGAATGGATTTAGATGATTTTTGTCCCATCCAGTGCGTGGTTCTGGGCACCGCCCTGCAAGTTCGGCAAATCCTGCCCTCCACTCCTGAAGGGGCCCCTGCCCTCCACATCTTGAAGCTAAGAACTCACCCCGAACATCACACACCCGGCCTCTGGCTCTGCCGCCTTCGGCCCCGCTTCTGCCGGAACTGGCACGTCCGCTTCGTCGCGAGGCCTCCGGCCGCGGCGGCCAACGGTCGCCCACCCACCAGAGCTGCCTGTCGCGAAGGGAGAGGCTGCAGCGTTCCAGCTACTCCTGTTTGGCCTCTTGATCGTCTGAGTCTTCCTCCATGCTTGCTGAAACTTTACAGGTAGCGCTATTGAATCTGCCAAACCGCCTGGGCGTTCCAAAGAAAGAGGTCTGAAATCGGGGTTATAGTTGTGGTTTTGCAAACACCCGACCTTTTCTTTGTCGTCGTTTATGGACAACAAAAACGGACTAGTAAAGAGTCAACATGGGTTGACAAATTCAGGTTTGTTGCATGTCATGTCATATGGGTACACTCCGGGTACACCCTTCAACAAAACCCTACCTTGACCAGGATTTGTGCAACTGCCCGCGCCTGCTTCAGAGGCCTCAGCCTGCGCCTTCTTGGCGCTCTGGGGCGCCCAGTCGAACTCCACGCGGCCTTGGACACGCTGGTCTTCTACCAGTACTCACCAGGACTTAGCTGACTAATAGGGGCGGCGAATTTGTCTGTGAATTCCACTCTCTCTCCCTCTCTCACTAACTTATGGAAGTGGTTGGGCCCCTGCAAAGACCCTTTGCCTCTACAAAAAGGCGGCTTGTCCATTTCTAGGGTGACTGAATCAGGAGTGCAGACTCCCATGTCACCATGGGATGACATATGATGAAATGGATTGAAATGGGTCATTCTCGGTCGCCGCCCCTTCGCTGCCGGTCGCCTGCGCCGCTGGCTTCGCTCAAAGGGGCGGGCCGCTCCTTCAGTTCGAGCCCCGCCTGCGCGAGCGAGTTCGCTTCGAGCGAGAACTCGCGGGGGGCGGTGGTGAATGGTAGGTTAAAGCACTTCGCTTCACCAGCACTTCTCCCCAAAACGAAGTATATACTTCTCTCAAGAAACGTCAAACGGAGGACCAAACAAAGGTGGTCTACGATGGCTCAATGTTCCGAAGAGCCACGGGGCTTCGGCCGACGCCCACAGACGCAACACCGCCACCGGGGAGTCGCTATCGCCTCACGGTGAAGCCGCACGGTCAGAGCCTCGGTGCTGGACGGGTGAGTGGCTCAAAAATACTCAAAAACATCACCCGGACATTGCGATTTGTGATACAAGGGGTTGGGTTATGTCACATCAGTGCGTGTCACATCAGTATTTGTGTTGAAATATGACATATTGTTCTTTGTTGCTTGTCCTTCGCCACACATGAAAACGCCGCATCCGACACTTGACTCATAAACCCCTCGGTCGCAGTAATCAACGCAGCTTGACCGTCTGACGTCTTGCTGTAACTTTGTCAGTTCCAGCTTCCAGCCACACTTGCACGACTTCCAAATGTCCGACTTCCAAATGTCCTCCCTCGGCAGAAGCAAAAAATGCGATCTCCCGGTCTTTCATTGTTGCATTTTTGTCAGCACCAGCCTCGAGCAACAATCGTGCATGTTCGGTATGTCCAAAAATGGCTGCACTGACTAAAGACGTTGCCCCATCTGCTATCAAACATCATATGATATACTATAGTAACAAGGACGCTACTAGGTTGGAGGCTATCGCTAGTAGGTTGGAGGCCATCACTACTAGTAGCAAGGAGCTACTTATCATATGCCTTGGACCTTGGACACCACTACTGTCCATTCGGCGACCACGGCAGCGCTCTCTTGGGTTTATTCTCTGGGGCACAGCTGGGGCCTCTGGCGATAAGATCCAAGTCGTTCGTGGAGAGGAAGCCAAGATCTCCAGTGGCCTGTCCAGTTCCGGCAGAACTTCGGTGGGTAGCTTGGCGTTCCTTCGCCACGGTCCGTGTTTGGCTCAAGCCTTAAGAAGGAACAAGCAAATAGTACAGCCGTGCCATGAAAAAAGGCGGATAGGGTCGACCGGGTCGGCGTGCCTCAAATATGAAGGGTGCACATTTAATTTTGGATTGTTTCATGCTGTTCGGGTTGTTCTTTTCAAAATCCTCCGGTTCACATGTCCTTGCTAACTACAACAATTGGGCGTCCTTAACAGAGAAACAGCTGGAACAGTGCAGGTTTCATGTTAATTCCTATCTAATTACAGCAATTTGGTGACATAGCTGTCCTAGCTGGCAAAACACATTGGAATAGTGCAGACTTCATACTAATTGCTAGCTAATTACAGCAATCTTTGCAGAGACACAGCTGTCGTAGCTAACAAAACACATTGGAATAGTGTGGGCTTCAGATTAATTCTAGCTAATCACAGCAGTTTGGTGCACTTAGCAGAGAAACAGCTGTCGTAGCTGGCCAAATACATTGGAATAGTGCAGGTTTCAAATTGGTTGCAGCGTGGTCGACATTTCACAAATTCAGTTTCGCGGGAAGCATAGCAAAGAGAAGCAAAAATAAGCACAACCATCAACCAAAATGATACAGGAAAGCACAACAACAGCAGCAGAAGCAAACACACCAAAAGCAAGAAACAACACACAGCTACAAAAGTTACTAAAGCAAAAAACAATGCAAGAAGCTACAACAACAAATGCAATACAGTAAACAAAATAGCAACAAAAGCCAAAAGCCAACAAAAGAACATACGACAAGCAAAACACCTATCAAGCGCGACAGAAAAACGACAGAAGCAAGAGACAGAAGAGCGACCAAAAACAAAAGACAATAAAGGCAAAACAGGCAGCAAAAACAAAAAGCAAACAAAGATAGGCAAAGCAAAAAGCAGCAAAAGCAAAAAAGAAAAGGCAAAATGAAAGCAGCTGTCAAAGCCGAACAGCAACAAAAGCAAAGAGCATTAATAACAAAACACAACAAGAACAACAACAACAGCAACAATAACAAGAACAAGAACACACACGCACGAAAGCAAAACACAGCCGAAGCAAAAAGGCAGCAGAAGCATCCAAGCCAAAAGCAAGAGCAGAAAAACAACAAACACAAAACGCAGAAAAACAACAAAAGCCAAAAAGCAGCATGAAGCAGAACAGCAGCAAAAGCAAAAAAACACTTAAAAAACCGCCCCTCCATATGATCCAAATGAAAACATTGATATAACAGTATACAGGAACAAACAAGCTAGTAGAAAAGAACATTGTCAAAGAAACTGCTTTGGTGTCCCATACCTTTATAATGCACATTTGCTCAAACTGGTTGACACTCAACCCAGCTGTACGTGTTCGTTTGCTCATTCCCCCAAAGGAAACAAGGAAGCATCGGTGAACATCCTCTTTCCCTGCTCAACCCAGCTCATCCCTCAGGCCGTCAATGCAGGCGACTTCTCTCCCAAGTCTTCGCAGCTGGGCCCTCCAAAGCACCTGCAGAAACCATGTCACAGTCACACCCTCCGAGTCACCCCCGGTCCTCCATGCGGAGGACGGGCCTTGGCGAAGTGCTTGGCGAACGCGATGTCCTCCGGCGCAGCGAGAGATCGTGAAAAAAATCGGGACTCCGATCCAGTGAGTGGATGTTCTGGGCACCCCCCACCCTCCAACAGGCACCGCCTATCCTTTTAAACTCCTGGAAAGTAAAAGATTTGGGGTGTTTAGAATGTTTCACATCTCTCGTAGGTGCAACTGAGTTCCATCTAAGGGTATCGGTGTTCTGTGGTCACCAAACGAGTCTAAGGGATGCTGGTTGGAAGGTAACTCTTGAGCACAGAAACCCCTCAGGGTCCCAAAAGTAGTAGTGGCTTGTCTGAGCGCAGCTTGCATACCGCAAGAGCCCTCCGTACCCCTCAGGGTCCCAAGAAAACAACCCCCTTGGGTCTCCTGTTTTGTTCAAACAACATCACTACCACCATCCCCTCGCGAAGGAGACCTCACTCGCGCATCCACACTCCACCCTCCAGATCACACGGTTTCGAAGTCGTCCGGCTTCGGTTCCGAAGAGGAGAACGGTGCGGATTGGGTCCCTGTCTGTGGGATCCAAAAGATAAACAGAACACCCCGTTGGCCATGGGTTGCACAGCGCTCAAGACCCCCCCTTTCCCAAGCGATGTGTTGGTCTCACTAGTCTCACTTGGGCGCTGTGTTGCTGGGCTGGTGGAAGAGGCAAAAAGCATCTTTTCGTCGCGGGTTTGCATGGCCAAAAGCCATTACCCTTCAACTGGTCTCAGCTGGCAGTGTGCGGTGGCCGGGCGACCGCCAAACGAGTTGCAAAAAGAAAGGCTTGAAAGCATACATAATACATGGGACAGTCGGACGCAAATGCGCACGACCAACCAGCAGGGTGAAACCCAAAAAGACTAAACCACCAACCAACCCCTTCTACTAAAGGAATCCCTTGAATCCACCATCCAAAATTCATCAAACGCATTTGGTACTGATAGGAGGGAGATTCACTAAATGACCCTCTGGGCATGCCCCAAAAACTGGCAGAACTATTGAACCTCCAGGGCGCTGTCTTCTGGATTCAACCGCCCCACCACCGCCCCACCGCCCAGAGGCGTTCCCAGCAAGACACAAAAACATTAAAAACACAGAGAGATGGGCTGAAGAAATTGAAAAAACAAACAGCAAAACATCATATCATGCCCGTTTGCCCGTTTGCCTGCGTAGTCAGCGAGGAGGGCGCTTGCTGCATGATCTGAAAACACATTGGTCAACCCAAAAAATGTGTGTCCTCCATTTTAAGGCCTCTGCCTTGCAAATACACCACCGGAAGCCAAGGAAAAGTCTGAAACCACACATGGTTTCGCGGGGAACACAGCCACAACGACTAACACCAACTACACCAACAACCCTGACGGCAGCGCCGGTGCGCGAAGCTCTACAATGCATTGTATCATAGTATCCCTAAGAACCCCTAAGAATCCGGCCCGAACCAATGGCCAAGGGAAAGCCTCCCCTGCGATGGAGGATCCAAGGATGATCTGGGATCAAGACATATCATATTCACCTAGAACAGAGCAGCTGCCTCTCCTAGAACGTCATCAACTTCTTGACTCATCTACGGAAATGTGTATCCTCAATTCACAAAGTTGCATGCCAGGTGTCCAATCCAAAGACCATTTATCGTTTGAGGCATGCCAGCGCACACTTTGGAAAAAAGGGGGCGCCTGACCTTGCTGTAATGCAGGTCAATCATCGTCATGGGCTCTCGCAAAGCACTCGACTAGTCAAGTCAGCCGTGGGGACGGCAGTCAGCTGTTTCAAGGTGAAGATTCGGAGGTGCCTGTGACAAAGAAAATCAAGATGATGATGCAATTTTATGTAGTGTGTATACAAATAAGTAATATATGTATGTAATTTTATATGCCTGTATTGTGTGGAGTACGTAAAAGTTAATCCTCTTCATCTTATACAAAATTTACCATATGATGTGGGTTCAGATTCGATTCTGTTTGGACTTCTGGAGGCTTCTGTCAACCTGGAGTCCAGATTCACCACACCCAACCGCTTGGCCCCATGGAATTGCCACGATCCAGCCGCCTGGACCATGGTCGAGGCTAACACAAAAGCGCACCCAGACGCACCAGCGACGCCACGTGACTCAGTGTTAGGTGGATCCTCAAAGAAAGCTACAAGTCTGTCAGCCGTGAGTGGCTTGATGGTCTGTTAGGCCTGCAGTATCACAAAGAGTTGCAGAAAAATAAAAAGCTTAATGACTACCCTTCTGGACTGGATTCCAGCTTTGTTTTTTGCTTTTATCTCAGGTGTCGTTGAGTGTCTCTTCATGTTCAGTCTTGTGCTTTTCCGCACCCTGGGTCTATACGGTGTTTGCAGGCACTGGGCAAGATGGGGGAAGTTCCCCTCTAGACTCTAGAGTCTCTAGAGGTGTGCTAGGAATGTGTTCTCATGTCAGCCAGTACACCAAATCAAACACATGCTTCAAGGAGCTGCGTACTCGAAGCATCCAGCTGGATGCTTCTCAGACCAGCCCGAGCCTTTACTATTTAAACACCTGGAAGCCCATCACACCTTGGGCTCTGCAGCTTTGAAGGTAGGGCCTGACGCTGCAGGATGCCTCCATGTCATTACAACATCCCCCAGGCTCCTAAACATCCTAAAGCCAAAGCCTGTCAGTCGCATCACGTGTCCAAGTGAACTGACAGAAACTTGAAAGAATTTGAAAGATGTTGAACTACACCGCCAAATATGGCCAGATATGACTATCTCACAATGATGTCCTGGGCTTCAACAATTTTTGGGCCATATTGTCACACCCGTCCACTGATTCGATCGGCCATGGGAACACCAAGGCGTTTGAGTAGCAAATGTTGTGCATTCCATCCAGGATTCTGGGATGTCGAGGGCAAGCAGCCGACCGCAGTTCTAGTGACAAAAAAAAGGATCACAGAAGCACCGCCCGAGTCTGTCGGTCTGCGAGCCAAATCGAACGTCTTCTTCGGGGACAATAAAAAGGTCATCCTAAACCCGGGATACCAGGACCTTCCAACAGGTGTTTAAATCCTTTACCTGGGCACCGGACTTGTGACCAGGGTCTTCATGATGTTTCTCTTAGTTGACCAAGACGAAGACGATTTTTCTACTCTCCTCGGACCAAGACTCCTTAGTCCACCTAAAGCTTCCTGGTTTGAAGTCAAAAAGGAGCTAGTCCGTTTCCATGGGCTCATGGGCGCTGACATGCGTTGAAAGTGAGATGAATCAAAAAGAACGGGTAGGACTGACACAGAATTGAAGAATTGTGTCAAAAAGAAAAGATGTGAGAAGGAAACTTATATATCTAGATTATCCAGCAATATCTAGAATCTACTCTAGAATCTCTATGGATCTCTCGGGATCTCTCTGGCACACTCCGCAACTGGTTTCACCCAATCATACATGGACATTGTTGGAAATCGTTGGCAACGACACACAAATATCCCACGATATCCCCCGGCATTTCTGTTAGTTGCTTACTGTATGTTTGTTGTGGTGGACAACTACGCTTGGATGGGGTCTCAAATTCCAGAACCACCAACTGGAGTAGCAGTGCTCAGGGTTTCCAAAAGGGGGTGTTGGAGATTGTTGGAGGGCGCATTCAGTGCATTCTCTACTTTTCTTAGGGTCTTAAACCACCCTTGGAACTCCTGTTCACTCCAGGATAAGTGAAGAAACCCATCCTCCACACTGGCTTCACGGCTTGCTCATCCCACGAACATCTGAAATCAGGTCAAATCGGGGCCTCGAAAATGGACCGAAGGAGAAGGCACGAAGGATCACGCAGCACGGCTGATCTATTCTCAAACTCCCAAAAGCCAAAAATCATCAAAAACGTATAGTTTTGATCTTCGGTCTTCGGGTCTTGTCATGTACTTTCTGCTTCGACCATCTCTTCCATCCATCTCGGGGCCTTAAAATGTGGGACCGGGGCCTCTCCGGCCCATCCCGATCGCCACATGAACCAGAAATCCGCCGAGCATTCGCATCGAAGTCAGGCTTCTCGCGTTCTCGCGATCTGCTAAGGAAGCAGCTAAAAAGAAGGGGTCTCCTAATTACGCAGCAGGCTGTAGAATCCTTTTCTCCTCTCCGCTCTACTCTACTGAGTTTCGGGATCAGTGGCCAAAGTAGGCGAAAGACCGTCGCAGTGGACGTTCATTGCGGACCGTGTTGGGTTACAAGAATCGTTTGTAATGGGGTCACTGCTCGGACTTGGGTGCCTGCTGTATCCGATACCACGGAGCATCATTGTCACCCAACCAGGGTTTCTTTTACAGCTATTTTAGTTCTGGCCTTGGCACTGCTTGATTCAGAGACTGCTTGAGATGTCGAGAAACCTGCGCAGAAAAAAGAGTTGCGACTCGAGAAACCTGCTGACTCGACTCGACCGGCCGGCACGAGTAAGAAGCCGGCTCGGCGTGATCCAAATGGCTGGGTGAAAAGCAATGTCGGTGCCCATATTGAAGAAAAACTCTTGTTTCAACACACTGCCCCAAAGAACATACTGTAGTATACGAAAAACATCAAAAAACAACAATGACATCGAAATTCACCACTTGGTCATGTTTCTTTTATGCTGGTTCCGGTGCGTCACTTGTTTATGACATAGCCAGTATATGTCTTTCCAGGTGTCCAAACCATTGTTGCGATTCACCAACATTGACGGCGGATCGACAGGATCCGCATGCGGGACGCCGCCACATTGACTCGGAACGAAAAGCAGGATTCCGCGTGCGGGGACTCTGGAGAAACCGCGATCGATGCGGTGGTTTGGACTAGAAAACAGGATGGTGAGAAGAAGGTTCTCTGAAGATCCCACATGCAGTCACATGCAGTCATGAGGAAGCAACTACCCACGGCCATAGAACATCATAGAAGTGGGACTTATTTCAAGCATCAAGAGGCACACTGTAGAATCGGGAGTTTTTCACTCCGTGTAGCTCCCAAAACTGGCTTCCTTTTCAAGAGGCTTCCTATGAATTCATACCAAATAATATGTATGCATATCCCCAGCTCTCCAAATCACGTTCACTCAAACGTCCACCATCGGGTTCCATCTGTTGGTCTCTCTTTAGAATCGGTTGTCGGGTTTTTGCAAGGGACATCCTCAGGTCATCTTCTGTCCTGTTCTCCAGCTGCAGGAATTGCGGGATTCACCCAAGCGCTTGGCGAAGAACGATCAACGATTTCCTTTGCCTCAGGGAGACCTCTGCTGAAAACCACTGTGGCACCGGCTGAAAATGCCTGGCAACGGATAACAAACAACTTTGCTAGTCCAGTTGCCCAAAGACCTTCAGAACAAATGGCCACAGAATGTGCCATGCGTTGTGCAACCCCTAAACAAAGATCCAGCCTTTGAGGAACAACGCAAATTCCTCTTCCATTCCTTTCCAAGAAGCCCTTTTGGGCACTACAGGTTGCCACTGGCCTGTCGTCAGATCCTCTGCCAAGGTTTAACCGAACCTGTTTTAAGTGCTTGGTATAATCACAGTAAACCAAGACGGGGCTCTTCGGGTCTACAAGAGTACACCGACGAGACGGCCGTCTCTCCCATGCGTGTCGATGTTGTTTGACATGTCGTGTGGTGTCTCCGATTCAAGGGCTCACTCCGTAGGTCGTCGTGAATGAGCTTTGTTGGTGGTGTTCTTTTCAACCAAAAGAGACCGATCAATCATCAAAATTGACCCAAAAGGATGCCAGGTATACGTGCCTTGGAAGCGTTGTGGCTGGATTTGCTCCGGCCCTCTCTTGAAGCTTCTCTGCCAAGTGCCAGGGCGTCTCATTGGGTGCGCTCCACGCTCCCCGACGGTGCGCCACATCGGATTACGACGAAGGGCGAGGGCTCGGCTCTGTAGAAGATTGCAAACATCGAGAAGCAGGGAAAAGGAGAGAAACCATTCCCAAACAATCCATAGGGACTGGAATATGTACCTATATTCATTGGGGTGGTTCAGGGGTCGATGTAGGTCAATCTTCCATGTATTCTCTAGTCAGAGCCTGAATATCTAAGGGGGTATTGCCTTGGCTGGACGAAGCATGTAGGACCTGTAGAATGGACCTGCAAAACCCCTGCGTGCAGATGGTCCGCGCAAGATCTAGCACTCCACGTCCGATCGATTGACCTCAGCCTTCGGGGGCGTGCATTCGGTTCATTTCTTCATGGGTCAACCAAGGTTCCCCGGCTTTGACGAAAAAAGAACAGAGAAACAATTTGTCCGCCACACATGCTGCAGGTTCGATCGAATAAAACTAAATAAACATTCAACCGCATCCAATGGAGCCTTCGCCGACCAGGACCCAAAAAAAGGGCCCATCCAGTATACTCGGCTGAGTCCTCTCACCTACGCACCATCGAAGAACACGAGCAGTCAAACATTTCGATCCCGGATCTTTGACCGGGAAATTCGAGGAATTCATCGTCATCACCAGCTTGGCTGGAAAGGGAGGGTCGGTGCGAGCCGGTTTGGTCCTTCGGTGCCAATTGGCCGTCCGTCCTGGGGCGCGATTGAGGCATGAACGCGAGGACACGAAAAGCCTGCACCGCATGGCATGGCAGACACCAAGAGAATGAAGACCTCCCCTGAAGACCACGATCGCCCTCGAACCTGAGAATTGACCTGTGGATTCGACTCATGTTCCGAAGACCAACCCGACGTGGTTTTGGACTTCTATGTGGATAGAACAGCGGGGGAGTAAAACCTCCCCAGCTTCATCAACAATCGACCATTTTCCGAAACGGAGGACCCCAACCAACGGCCAAAAACTCTGAGCTGAGCAAGTCACTATCATTCACGATGGTGCTACGCCTGTACCATCATCATGTTGCTTTTGCTGGGAATGAACGGACACCCCCAAACGCCTTTGAACACCCGGGTCCATCAGCTATAGAATGAACCAATGAACCAACACCCCTTCTGCAGATTGGTTCTTTCACAAAGCTTAGCCAAGTAAATTGAAACAGCTGAGAGGAAACATATACATCATATACTGACTCACCTGGAATCTAGAACCCTTTGTCCCCTGTCATTAACATTTTGAGTGTCTAGTGAGAGTCTAGTGGTCCAACATAGGGGTCACATGGGGTCACTCAGGCATTATATCTGTGTTGGATGAAAAGGTGCAACAGGAATCCTCCGGCGGAAGCTTGAAAACGTGCACGTATGAATCCAGTGGCGTGGGAACTGATACTGGAACTGATGCATATATAATTCCAAATACCAATCACAAACAATAATGATTGTTGGTGATTTGGTATTAAACAATCCATCTATGGACATGTTTGGAATCACCTGACTCAGGGGTCCTCTTTGGTGCCTCCGAATGCTCCCCGCCTGCGCGGGTCCGGATTGGAGACGCCCACGCCCCCCACCCCACCGGCGCGTGATGCAACGGGCCGGTGACGCGTCCCAAAGCCCGAGCGTCTCCGCGGGGGCCGATGGTCCCAGATGAGCGGGACATGGTTTCCTTCACCTCGGCGGCCAAAGGCGTGCGGTGGCCAGACGAGGTCCCGCTACGGATACCGGTCTACCCGAAAGAAACAATCCATGGAAAGTGAAGAAAAAGCACCTGGTTGGTATTCGGCCCGGCTGCCACTTCCATGTTTATTCTTCAGCCGGGAGTGTATTCTTGTCCCGGCCGTGCCAGTGGATCATCTTCGTTCGAAGAACGAAGCGATGCGGAGTGAGGGGATAAACGCTCACCCCAGGCGCGACCGCTCACCCCAGGCGCGACCGCCTGGTCGGCCTCCACCAACAGCCGCCCAGCTGAAGGTCAACGGAGTCCGGCCACGGTGCCACTGGCGACGGAGTGCCATGTGAGCCGCTGAAGATCAGCACCCGCCCGATCGACATCGACCCACAGCGAACATGGCGAACGTGGCGAACGTGGCGCGAACGTGGCCACGGAGGTGAGCGTGGCCACACACCACACCGACTTGCATACAGGTCCCGCCCTCCGCAGCTCTTGGCCCCACACATCCAAAAACCTTCCGAAACGAAGTAGGTCTTGGCCCTTGGGACCCGAAGTGGGTGGGGCCAGCCCTTTCGCACCGACCTGATCCGATGGACCCCGGATCTGCGAAATCTTCCCACCATCCTCTTTGATTTCCTTGACTTCGGTATGCATATGGTATGCTTATAGTCTATATGTTTTCTATTGCTTTCTGGCCATCCGAGTCTCACGGCGCTGGCCTGTATGCTTATAATAACTTATAGTCCCGTGCTTCAAAAGAATGTTTAAACGAACAACATGTATATATGTCGGCACTGACCTGACAGGTAACACATCCATCGAAATCACTGCGAACACCTTAGGTATCTCCACAATGTTCCTCGTTGATTGATAAAAAAACCGAGATGTAAGACCAATCTGTATAGGGGCTAGGGGGGTTGATTCATCAACTGCCAACATGGAATTTCGTCCATCATACACAAAAAACGGCCAAAGTCCGGCCATCTTGGGGCCCCTCTCGGGGCCCGGGCCCCAAGATGATCGCATCCAATGCAGACATCAAGATCTCTCGCGGAGGCCTCAGGGATTTGAATCTTGAGATGAGCGGCTGAACAGCCCTGCTTTTGGAAAATGAGGAACATCTACTGGAACATCTCTCCCATCTCCACCGAAACCAATTTGCAGTCTTGCTGTTAAGTATTTTGGTGTCTATTAATCTATTAAAATAGGAAGACCCCCCCAAACACCAACCCCTTGGAAGGTTCGGGAAATTCACCAGTCTACTCAAGGGCCAGGGGGTCTTCCGAGTTGGATAGAAGAGCTGCATGTTCGCGCTGCGGCATCTGACTTTCCGGAATCAACGGAGATTGCCAACCGTGGCGGAAGGCAGTGGAAGTCAAGAAGTTACAGCCCAACACTCCATGTATGAAACATCAATATGCCTACGTTGAGCCCTGGAACCGCCCCCCATGTAGGCCCGGTGCTTAAAACAGCCGAGAACAAGTGTTAAAAAGGATCCCGAGACGGATGTGAACGACCGTCCCTGTACGGATCATTCAGTCAACAGTACAACGGGGTGAGCATCTTTGAACGTGTTTTTGTCTGGCAATATTGTCCATAGGTTTGCTTTTGGGTCGTCATGATGGCCACCCCGAGAGGATGGTCAAGCGTCTTTCAACTAGGAAGAAAGCGTTGTGACCCTTGGAATGGTTCCACTTCCTTACCCAAACACCCCATGTATGGAGTTGACATAAATTTTAATATAATCTAATCATTTACTGTACCCCACTCATGTCCCTAACATAAGTAACTCTTCCATACATGGATAGTCTGGGACATGTTGCTTATCTATGTATATTTCTGTCCTGTTACCTCACCGACTTGCCACGTGCTCTCTTGCCAAAACCACTTCGATAGAGTCAAACGCCTCTGTTCCCAGTCCAAGCATTACTGCTCTGTGAGGGGACCTCTTAGAATCCTTCTACCACTCCGACTCTGGGAGAAAAAACTAGACGACGAGTGGCCCGAAAGCATTTTTCACCACGTGTGAAGTTAGAGTGTGAGTTGTGTGTTAAGTGTTCAGTGTGAAGTGTTAAGTCTAGTGTGTTGAGGCAGTGTGTGGGTCTCTGTGTGTGTATCTATGTCTGTGTGTGTATGTGTCTCTCTCTGTATGTCTCTGTGACGCGCAGGAACACCTTTTTTCTGCAAGTTCTTGACCTCTCGCAAGCCACCGACATCTGGGTAGCGCTGCGTCCAAGCCTCAAACAACTTTCGCAGTTTGCGCGATGTCACGAACCAAAATCGGGCCTCGACCAAAATGTCTCGCGTGTTTCACACTTGACGACCGATTCGAGTTGGGAAAAGTCAGCCTGGTGTCTGCAGGGGAGAATCAAGAAGGAAAGGCGTAATCGAAGCAAGGGAGAAATAAGTGAAGTATAACAAAAGCGCAATGTTACAATGAATGTCGTCCGAGAGACCAACTCTTTCAAGGAGGCGGGCGCGTCGGCATCCGGGCCGTGAGACTTGGACAGCGCGGGCAACCCGGCCTGCTATTTCGCCGGCTGGCCATGTACTAGTAATAGTAGTAGTAGTAGTAGTAGTAGTAGTAGGTAGTAGGTAGTAGGTAGTAGGTAGTAGGTAGTAGGTGGTAGTAGGTGGTAGTAGGTAGTAGTAGGTAGTAGTAGGTAGTAGTAGGTAGTAGTAG